GCACATTAAATATCGGCAGTGGAGTTGATAGTTTTTTCTCACAAAAATTGCTTTAACAGATGTTCCGATTCATTAATTCATATATGCCTTAACGCTGCGACTGTCGTACTGACGAGGTCCAGTTGCAGGTTGGGTTAAGAAGTATATGACTTAATGGACCGAAACGTCTTATCTCGCACTTATTTTCTCTAATCTACACTGTTTCTTTTTTACTGAACTCCTTCACACATTTCCAGAGTCGACCTGGATGCTGCAATCTTCCGTTTAAAAGAAAAATGAAAACCTTTTTCTTCGTGCTTTTTTTTTTGAATTCTGTGAAACAGATATAGAACAGAACTGTATTATAAAATGATGAAAAAATTATTAGAATAGAATCCTACAGAATATTATTTTGATGTAAAATTTTGTTTCAAATTGCAATAAATCGCGTTCCAGGTCTTGATGGCTCCACTTTTCGGAAATTCGTTAACGCTCACAGTGAAGCAGCGGAAGTGGATGATCAGCACGACAAGCTTACAATTATACAGTACGATTTCGATCAGTGCGAACCGTTTAAGTTCATCTGTCCACACGAGGGCTGTGAACATGAAATTATTGTACGTGGATGTATATTGTCTGTTGTAAGTTAATTTTTTTTAAATTTTGCGCCAAAATGCAATATTTTATAAGTTAAGCGCTTGTTCAGCGATGGTATCTAAGAATACATCATACCATTCCCAGATTCGTCACAATATTGGATGCTGGATTAGTGAACCTGTACTTCAAAATAGGAATGCAATTAGGCGGTGCAAGATGGATAGAGAGGGCAGAAAGGGTCGTGGAGGCTCAGTCAAGAAGTGACCATTCCATATAGGAATGTCAGCGTTGTGGTAGACGAGGGTTGGTAATAAAAAAGACCTCAGTACCATACGTGCCAGTATAAAATATGTCGGTCACAAACCTTTTCAGTGAAGATAAAGGTCAGCTTTGCATCCCATCTTCGGCTTATTTCCTTATTTCATAGGGAATTCTTACCCGGCACTGGATTCCCGGAAACATCGTCTCGACTTCTCTAAATGTAA